TAATCTTTTCTCCAAATGGAACGTCTATTTCTCTTATCTCTTCTCGCTTTCGTACTTTTCTCGTCGGCGATAGCGTTCTCCGACGAGGATCCGTTGATCCGGCAAGTCGTGTCCGAAACCGACGACAGTCATCTGTTAAACGCCGAACATCACTTTTCACTTTTCAAGTCAAAGTTCGGAAAGATCTACGCTTCGGAAGAGGAACATGACCACAGGTTCAAGGTATTCAAGGCGAACCTCCGCCGTGCACGGCGTCATCAGCTCCTTGACCCTTCCGCCGAACACGGTATTACGAAGTTCTCCGATCTTACTCCGTCGGAGTTTCGCCGGACTTACCTTGGCCTTCACAAACCAAAACCTAAGCTTAACGCTGAGAAAGCTCCGATCCTCCCGACTTCCGATCTTCCAGCTGATTTTGACTGGCGTGACCACGGCGCCGTCACCGGCGTAAAAAATCAGGTCTTTTTTTGTAGATATACTTTTCTACTACTATATGATTAATTGGTTATCCACTTATATTTATTGATGGTTGAATTTGACTATGATAGGGCTCGTGCGGTTCATGCTGGTCGTTCAGTACAACAGGAGCGGTGGAAGGAGCTCACTTTTTGGCGACGGGAGAGCTGGTGAGCCTTAGTGAACAGCAGCTTGTGGACTGTGACCATGAGGTTCGTGTTTTTTCTTGCCGTTGACTTTTTAAATTTGATCGGTTCAATATTATTTAAATTTCTATATCTATATTGGAGTGCGATTTATGATGTTTTGTTGGCGCTGTTGCTTTGAGAGTTTATGATGGGTATATTGTTATGTTAGCTTTGTATGTATATCATTGAAGTTTCTTGCCAAAGCTAGTTATCTGCTTAAAGGGGTTTATAAATTAGGTCCAAATTATTGGAAAAGGATTAAAAATTACAGCTTTTTAGGTATCTATATATTGGTGCTGCCGGAATGTAAGGCAAAAGCTAATAGCTTATTTTCTTGAAGCAGCATAACAATTATACTCAATCCTACATTAGTTAGATGGGTTAAATTTCTTGAAATAAATCATACTATATAATGGGTAAATTGTTATGTTGGACTCTGTTTCATGTAAAAACTAGTTATCTGTTTCAAAGGTTAAACCATTTGGTTTTTTACTGTGGGAAAGGATTAAAGATTAAAACTTTTTCCCTGCCTGTACAATTGGGGTTGCGAGCAGTGGTTAAGACAGAAAGAAACTAGGATTGTTCTATGTTCTTTATTCTTCATTATCTCACTCTTCACTGAATTAAAACAGTTTTTTAGTTTTGGTAGAAATTACATAGAGAGACAAAAGTAAACCTAGTAGGGGATTTAGTTGAGACTGGACAAAGGCATATACCCCTGCTGCTGTAACTGATTGTGGATCTTATTGTCGTTTTTTCTTCCGCTTATTACATGTATTTGTTTTACCCTGTAATCTTAATTTAAAGTTTTTGCCTTTTGCAGTGTGACCCGGAGCAACAAGATGCTTGTGATGCAGGTTGCGGTGGTGGTCTTATGACTACTGCCTTTGAGTACACCCTGAAAGCTGGAGGTCTTCAACTGGAGAAAGACTATCCTTACACTGGCAAGGATGGCAAGTGCCACTTTGACAAGAGCAAAATTGCTGCCGCTGTGACTAACTTCAGTGTTATTGGTCTTGATGAAGACCAAATTGCTGCCAACCTGGTTAAACATGGTCCTCTTGCAGGTAGTTAGCCATTAAAGTCTCAATTTGAAGTTTTCTTTTTCCCAATGTGAATGAGAGCAGACAACCAAACTTACTATATTTCCTGTTTGTGTAAAATGCAGTGGGGATCAATGCTGCTTGGATGCAGACATACGTTGGAGGAGTTTCGTGCCCATTAATCTGCTTCAAGCGTCAGGATCACGGAGTGCTCTTGGTAGGTTATGGTTCTCATGGCTTTGCTCCTATCAGACTCAAGGAAAAGGCTTACTGGATCATCAAGAATTCTTGGGGAGAAAACTGGGGAGAGCATGGATATTACAAGATTTGCAGGGGTCACAATATCTGTGGAGTTGATGCCATGGTCTCTACTGTGACTGCTGCCCATACTACTAATCCTAACCTGTGAGATGAACTTATCCGAGGAATGTTGTCTGTGATCAAGGGTTTTACTACATTATCCTAATTTGTGTAAATATGTTATTTAGTAATGTATTGTGAACTCAAGTCTTAGATTTCATCAGCACTTTATTATCGTGCTTCAAACCACGTAGTGGGATTTGTATTTCTGTAGTTTATACTGCAAAAATGAAGTTCGAATTTTAAAGTTGTTTGTACATTGAATGCTCGAAATGTCTCTATGTCTTTCATGCTTCCAAATACTATTGAACATATTAGTACATTGCTTCAGACAACTTTCTTATGAAGCATGCACCTCTAGTTATTAAAGTTTGCTGCAAATACTAACTTGATAAACCGATAATTTTGTGTATTAAAAGTTGAGATATTTTTTGCATATATTGACCATGTTAAGTTGATTATTAACATGCCTCAAGCTCATTTGTTGGTGGATGTCAGCACTGAGTGATGTGGTATCCACTAGATATATCTATATATATAGAATGAAGGTAAAAGATAGTCAATATAGATAGGAAGAGATTGATAATGTCCAGATCCAAGGCATCTGCAGCCCAAATGTATTCGTGTAGCATTTGATTAGGTTGTCTGTATCATAAATAATGTATTCATAGTAAGTGTAGCGTTTGATTAGGTTGTCTCTATCATAAATGATGTATCCACAGAATAAAATTGACACTAGACACCCATAGATCATATCCTACCCAACGGTAACAGAAGCTGCAAAAGGCAAAAGTATAGACGGAGTCAGGATTCTTCTTAGAATAGACTAAGCTCTGAGGCCGATGCAATATTTGTTCAACTAAAGAGTTTTATAAACTACAATCTGTAATTTTACTGGATAAAATTGTGACTTTAATTTAATATGACAAAAGATAGTTTTTTTGACTTCACTATCATTATAGGTAAAGTTTTCTAGCCATACGTGAAATACCCTTCCATTTAACCCCGCATTTTTAACACAAAGCATGGAGTGCAATGAGTTGAGTGATCAAAATATCGCGGTTGAACTATCAAATTTAAATAAGCAGCTATGCAATGAAACTAGGAAGTTTTGAAGACGCATTATCCAAATGCAGACTTATAAATCGCATTTGATTTAAGTCGCATTAATTACGATTTATACACTGATACGAATTAAGAAATATGAACTAATTTGTAATTGACGCCATTGTAACCTTCTGATAATCAACTGGCATTCAAATGGAATTTTCCCAGGCGCAGATCTTTGGCTGCAGTGTACCTAGAACCTCTACTGACACTAAAATTGGAAGAAATCCATGCTCAATTACACCAATAGTTATGAACAAACAATTTTTGAGTTGCAACATCTATGATAGAATTTAATTTTCATCCTCATCAATTGAGCCAAACGATGATGTAGAGAACTTGTATCCACCCAGCCTGATTAGACAAGGAACATCAGACCCATCTTTTTCCTTGTCCTTAATTTTAGTTTAAAAACTTTTCTTGGGTATTGTTTCTCCCTTTTTGGCTAGTAAAAAAATTGCATGTTCCACTATTTCTAAAACAAACAGGGACTTAAAACGAATCATTTAGCAAATTAAAAAAATAAACAAGCATTTTGTGCTTTAACAGCGCCCGTTGTAGCATGTAACATAGTTGCAGACTTAAGAATCGATTGTTGCAAGCTTAAATGCTAGCAAACTGTACTATTATAAAGCCATGCCTATCAGATTCATTTAACGAATAGAATTATCAAATAAAATTCAATTCAGAAGAAATATTACACTTCTAAATGAAGAGGTTTGGTGAATTTTAGAACTCTCTTTTTCTTCTAAGGACATGCATGATGATTGGTGACACACATAAAGTGCGCTAAACAAAATGAAAACCAACAGCTCAATGTTTTTTATGGGACAATGATAAATGAAAAAAGAATGTCACTAACTGTCTAGGATTGCTAGATTTCCCTTCACTTCTAACGATGGGTAAAAATCGAATGCGTGAGTTAAAGCATTCGGCAATCTGATAATTCTTAAATTTTCAGTTTTAACATCAAATGCAACTATGAATTTACCGTAGCGATCCACCATATAGATAACTCCATTAACGCAAACTCCCTCCTGATATGAAAGAAAATCATCAGTGATACTTTTGATCTCTCACCATGATTCATCTATACCTAAAGTGAAAACCCAGCTTCTTGTTGACCGTATTGATGTATCTTTCCCTATCAAGTTTTCTAGTTATTGACTAGTTATTTCTGCTGTTCCTTGTTGTAAATACTTGAGGTAGGTAACCATTGCACATTTATCTTTGCAAACTTCTGTTTTAGTCTAGTTTTTATGTTGGGTCTTTAATTGGGCTACAGGTACAAAATGGGTCACTGCGGCCTTTTCTCTTGAAACCTTTACACAAATAGCCGGCTGAATATATTATTTATTTTTTCTAGCCGATATACATAATGTGGTTGGATAAACGGCTATTTAGGTTAATTCTCCTTTTTTTTCTTTTTGATGGGAGTGGACTTGTACATAGTGTGGGCCTACGGGGAGAGAGTAAGATAGAAGATGTGAGAGTTTTTAAAGGATTGAACTCAACACCTAAGAAAGGCAGAGTGAAAGTATAACTATTACTCCTATGCAACTCTGATCTCATAAATTGAACCTAAGATGTGAAAGTAGTATATATTTTGTATTTCTTTTGGGGAAACCTTAGAGTCAAATTTTTACACTTAATTTTTAACTATAAGTGATTTCATAACTTTCAGATTTGAGTACCTTTTTAAATAATCATTGCCAATTTGAGTATCTTTCAGATTCACGTAGGAAGCAAACTTGACTGTGTCGTAATCGTTTTTAGAGAAAGTTTCTAAATCAATGTTATAAAATAAGGTAGATAATAAATTCCCCTAATAAGGATGATAGAACAATGAACAACAATCAAATTTTTGTGAACATAAAGACCAATGAACTAGCTACATATAGATTTAAGAAAAAAGGACCAAAAATACCCTTCAACTATATTAAACAGAGTAATTATACCCTTCTTTTGATTTTGGTCCAAATAATATCTCACAATTGCCGGTTCCCAGGTGGACCGTTAAACTGTTGAAAGGACAAGTATACGAATGCCAACTGTTCTTCAGAGAAACCCGACAGGAAAACGAACCAAAATATCAGAAGAAGATCTTTCAAACCATTGCAAAACTGGAAAACTGGCAGATGGTAGAGCTTTTCTGATATTGATGATACTGAAAGACTCAAAGACCTGTATGCCTGTACCGATAAGAACAAGAAGGAAGCCAAAGAAGCGGTGATTGCCAGTTTTTTCAAAGTGGTTGATATAATCCAAGTGAAGCTAATAAAAATTAGATAGAAAAGACAATATTACCCTTGAAGAGTGAGGCAGACATATCGTCCAGGTATCTGCTAACTCTCCTTATTAGCACACATCTGGACGACATGTCTGCTTGTTAGCTGCTACTAAAGGGTATTTTGGTTATTACTCCTAAATTTTCCTGATAGCTAACGCGTGTCAATCAACTTGACAACTGGTGCGAATACAAGAAGTCTGCGGTACTTTTGTATGACAGATAGGTCACTCTCAAACATACAGAATCTTGCTAAGATTTTAGGATGTGAAGTGGAGAACTTGCCTACAACTTACCTTGGCATGCCTTTAGGCAGAAAACACAAAGCAGGGGAAATCTGGATGGAATAGTGAAAAAAATAGGAAAAAAATTGGCTAGTTGGAAGGCTCAAACTTTATCTTTGGAAGGACGACTTACTGTTATCAATTCTGTCCTAGACTCTCTGCCTACTTATGTTATGTCCTTATTCCATTTAACTTCTAATATTCAGAAAATTTTGAACAAACTCAAGAATAAATTCTTGTGGCATGGGAATAGAGAGGGGAAATGTTACGATTTGGTGAAATGGCAAATAGCAACGCAGGAAAGAGAGGGTGAAGTGGGCATAGGGATGACAAAATTTTCCAAAACTCATTTGACCCGCCCAAGCTTTAATGGGTTTGGGCTAGAGTAATTTTGAAGATGGGCTGATTTGGGCAAGCCTAAGTTGATCCATCATAAATCATCGGCCCAAACTGACCCATCAAATGAACCCAAACTAACCCATCAACTGCCCTCCATTCATAAGTGTGAAAGTTTATATCCAAGACCCGCGCTGGAATTACTTTAACAGTAAGTCAGTAACCCCACAAATAAACCTTGTTTATACTCAAATTATATATATACAAGACTCACATTGGAACTACTTTGATAATAACCCCACAAATAAACCTAGAACCAAATAAATAGAATGTTACTCACTATCTAATGATCTCTGTTTCCGATCGCGACCGTGACCACGTTGTAAACCTTTTCCATGTGGTCATGAGAAGGGCCGGAATGGGTGGGAACAAAGAGATTTAGGGGACTTTTTTTTCTTGAGCTGCACCTCTTAATAACAAGAGGATTTTGAGCCATTTCACCTTTGTTGTGAATTTGTGGTCATTATCATTCATTAATGTATCATCAGTAGGTAAAAGCTTGGGTAAAGGAGGAAACCCAGGTCGAGGTGGTATTTTCTCTGACCACATTTTTACTTCAATAACAAAAATGGTGGAATTTTCTTCCAATGAGGTTGGTTGCAGAAATACACAAGAAATAGAAAGTTGCAGGCGATGAAGTAATTAGAAGTGTGAGAAAAGGACAGAGACCATTGAGAGAAGTACATGCAGAAATTGGGAAGGAAGAAAGGGAACAACTGTGGATAATTGATCATTGCTTCTTTCTGATTGAGTGAAACAATTTTTACACTAAAAGATATTACTGCTACTTTTGAGATTTTAAAATCTGACTACTTTCTAATCTCATAATATGACTCATTAATCTTTCAATTATTTTGAGTACCCATATCAACCGTATTTGATACTCCCTCCGTCCTAATTTATGGGATATAACTGGTGTTTATAAAAATCCGAAAAGCCGAACCAAACTGAAAATCAAACCAAACCGACCAAAAGAATCGGTACTTTTTTGGTTTGATTTGGCTTTGGTGTTAAATTTTAAAAACCGAACAAATTTAGTTAGATTTTGGTTTTAATCAAAAAATAACTGAACAAATCGAACCAAACCACCTATAGAAATAGCTATTTAAAATTTATCATTACACCTATGTATATATAGATTTTTATACAAAGTTTCTAAAATTTTATGGTACATGTTAATCGTTTGCACTTTTTGTCTAGTTCTTTGCTATTATAATAATCCAGTCCTTTGTCTTTATAGTCTAGTTGTAGTTTTCTTTTGCTAAGTACGAGAATCTATTTCATGGTAAAAAAATTATTTTTAATTGAGTCCTTAAATTATTCATCAATATCTGGTTTAATTATCATCAATATATCTTGGTAAATGATAGATTCACAAATAGTAATTAGCTTGATAGTGTTATGTTAAAAATTTAGTTGATGGAATATGTGTTTGGTGTGTATGTCTCACCTTTAAGAAAAAAACCTATAAAAAATTGAAAAATAAATAACTGAAAACCGACAAAAACAGACAAAAACCGAATCGATTAAAAACCAATTTAATTGGTTTGGTTCCAATATTTTAAAAACCGACTTACTTGGTTTGATTTCTTTTTAGGGAAAAACTGATCCAAATCGGACCATGAACACTGATCGGGTCCAAACCTACTCCACTATAGAGTGGCAAGGATAGTCGATGCAGTTTTACCCAACAAGGTCGGGATCGATTTCCACAGTGAGTTAATTTGGTTTGGAGTTAGGTGTCTAACTAATCTAGATATGCGTGTTGTTCTTAATTACACTTTCAAATATTATTGTGATTAATTCTATCCTAATTTTATACTATTGTATGCTTAGTGTAAGCTAAGTACAATATTTTTGGTAAAAGTTTTCAAGTGTTGAAAGGCACTAGGGAAGTGACTTTCGCCTAGGTGAGTATCTAATGAGTATCAAGAATCTAGGACAAGCTTGTTATGATTGGGGTCATGATATAACCATCATACATAAGTGCTCACTCTATACCTCTCGGTAGTTTGAGTGACTTTGCCCGATTTGGCTTTCACAATTCCAAATGGGTGTTCATACAATACAAGTAAAATTAGCTCAAGTCGGGTATTACTATCTCTAGGTTTAACCCTTTAATTGGGGCTATC